ATTTCGCCGTGAAGAGAGATTCGTCAATCTGGGACGATCCTTGACAACGTTCAGGATGACAATGACGACGACGACGACGACGACGACGACGACGACGACGACGATGACAACGGCGTGGAGAACTCTTTTTTTCCAACGGGGTCTGCTCCGTTGACTGTCCAGGGTCAACCGGCTGGCTCTGCGCGCGGCACTTTTACCCGTTGGGTACTCTCAAGGACTCGGAGGTGGCTCCTATTCCTTTCTCTTATCCTTTCGCGCGCGCGCCTTTTTTATCCCGCTAACCTTTTTAAACGCACTTTTAATTCCGCTCAGCCGTGTGTCTCTGGCGAACGCCGCCACGATTTCCCCGGTGGTTCCCCGGTGGGACTCGGCGGCGCGCGTTTACTCTTTTATCACGGATTATCAAATTTCTCGCGCCTTCTTCAAACGACGAAATCAACGTCGTCGTGCGGCGCGACGCACCGTGACGATCGGCGGGAGAGCGGGAGAACGGAAAGCGAGTGGATCTCGCCACATCCGGATCGTCTTTCAGACTCGTCCTTCGCTACCGCGGTTCTCTCTCTTCTGCTCTCCACCTCTTTCTCCTCGTTCCGAGAGAGCGAGCCTTCCCTTCGCTCACTCGTCGACGCCTTCCTCGTCCTCGTCGTTGAACCACACGACGGTCACGAGGACTCCTGTCCTCCGCGCGAGAAATCCGCGTCCTCCTGCGGTTTTCGCGTACACGGTTGTCGTATCGCGGTTTGTTCCTCTCCTCCTCCTTCTCCTCCTCCTTTTCCTCCTCCTCCTTCTCTCCTCTCCGTCTCGACTGTCTCTCTCTCTTCTTCGCTGTCCTTTCCTTTCGCGTCTCCTTCCGTCTGTCTGTCTCCTTCTCTTCTGCGTGTTGTATCCTTTGCGAACTTCTTGCGCCCGGACGAGGCGGCGAGGTAAAAGCGAGCGCGCTGTCGATCGTGAACTGAGGGAGAGAGAGAGAGAGAGACAGGTTAAATTCGCACGCGAATACCGCACGTCGAGTCCTTCCACGGTGGTGCTACCGGGATGCAACTCGATGATAATGACGATGGTAATGAATACGTTGACGATGACGACTGGTGAGGATGATGAAGACCACTCTCTAGCAACTCCGGAAACAGATTACCGGTGGGATACCAGCAATGGTGACCTTGAACACTCGCGTTTCGCGCTGAATGGAGTGAAACGCGCGGGACCGATCACTTTCCATCGTTCGCTCTCGCTGTCGGCGCCGTATTCGCGCTCGCTGTCGAAGCTCGATTACTCGCGTTTTTGACTTCGATCTATCCCCGAACTTCCATATATCCGCCGATACACCTCCGAGAACGAGAGTACAAGCGAAACACCACACGCAAATATATTTCGCGAAGCAGCGGACTAGAAAACGTCGTTACGCAATGACCGGACCACCGTTCCTCTTCTCCTCTCTCCTTGTTCTTCCCCTAGCACGCCCTCTTCGGCTTCCTCGGGGCGCGTAAATCCTCCACATTCGCGGCGTTTCTTGTCAAGGGCGCCGGAGAGACGTCCGCGATCATGCGAACCGAACGCACGTACGCATACGCACAAACACACTATTACTGTCTGTCTTTCTCTCTCTCTCTCTCTCTCTCTCTCTCTCTCTCTCTCTCTCTCTCTCTCTCCTTTCTCGCTTGCGCACATACTCTTTCGAAAAATATGAAGGCGGCACGTAAAGGTCTCTTTCTCATCAGGTGGAATTATATCGACATGCTAGTCGCTTGTTGCGGCGACTCGGGCGTTTTACGAGCGATCGATCGCGAAATGCTTGAATGATTCGACGGTAAACACCGTCCGATTAATGTCTGCCACTCCGTTCGCGACTGGACCACGGTGTTTCGTTCAATCGTTGAACCACGTAGCTCGTAATCGTGGAGAGCCAGAGTAACGATTGAAAGCAATATAATCTTGTTCGATTCAAAGATTCGATGCTATAAATGACAGCTGATGATATAAATGATTTATTCATCGAGAAATTATCGAGAAATAAAATCGACTTATGTACTACTTATACTACTTTTAATTCTTGTTTATATCACTTTTTAGCGTAATATATGAGAATAAAACTATACGGATTAGTCATTGGTTTGCTTAGCAAAAACGGCTACAAAAAAAAAACTTATTAACCGTCACGTTAAGAAGGTACGTCGAAAGCCCGTGGAATTAATAAATGTACTGCTTTGTCACTATTTATGTAACAAAGTTGTCGACATTGAAGGCAGCACGATTGTTTCCAACATTTTAAAACGAGAATCAGGGTCGTGTCAAAAGATCATTATGCAAGTCAGCTAAAGTCCGAATATGTATTCTCGCGTTGCATCGTTCGTTAAACGCCATCCTCAACCGTCTTCAACCGTTGACAAGAATCGTAAATGTTTAATTGTCGTCGCAATTATTCATTATTTAACAGTCAGTTTGCATGCGGTGCGACATGCGAACTTTCCCGCCGTCCTTGCTTTTAATACGCGTTAAATGTGCGGTTCAGCTCCAGTTTTTTTGTTCTCATGTCGCTATCCTCGTCCGTTCGTCCGTTCCAAGGTGGCAGAGTTGTCATCCCGATCATCGGATGTGGTACGCATGACGATGCGTACGGGGGATTGCAGCAACGACGTCTATACTTAGCGCGTTAGACGAATCTCTCATCCGAGGGCCACCACGAACGAAAGGAGGTCGTGGAACAGCTGATGCCGTCGTCGAGTGGTCGATTTGGTATGACAGTGTCTTTACCATCTCTTAGCGCGCTTTCAGTTTCCTTCTTCTCTCTATCCGGCCTTTCGCATTTCGTCGATACGAAAAACAGCTGACGACACAACGACTCGCAATTTATTCCATTTTTTTTACATTCTTATCCTTATTATTCTTATCCATCACGACACACCCAGTTATATCGTGTAATCCTAATCTATAATCCTAATCTATAATCTATTCATTTTTTTAACTTATACTATTTGCAAATCTGTCATAATAAATGCGTGCGATAAATTTAAATTACTTAAACATAAATAGACGAGTGCATTATGTTAAATAAAAAAAATATAATTTATGACGATACCTTTTCCTTTATTTTATATTTTATATCTCTTTCGGATATGTTTGAATATAAATTGTCTAATTATGTAAAGAGATTTTATGTAATTGTTAAATTTGGATGTTTTAAAAGCTCATGCCAAATAAAAAGTTAATAAAACAAGTGGTAACAAATCATGTATTTTTTGCTCCTTGGAATATGTTACCGATAATTAATTTAGTTATTGTTGATTATCTCCATGTTGATCCGAATAATAAATGTTCGCCAATCTGAGATTACCCTTTTCGTATAACCATGAAAAATGTCAACCGCTCAACTGATCATTTAACAGTTAATCGATGAGAAATCCGTGACCTTTTGGGCAAATATAAACTTGCGAACGGGTAATATCTCCCTCGTAGATCAACTCGATTTCCTCGAGATTAACATGCTGCAGGCTATCGACGATTAATCGGTTTTTTTTTCTCTCATCTGTGCTCATCTGTTTCGCGAATAAAGTCTCGGTCACGCAAATCCGAAAAATAAATATTACTGACGCGCAAAATGATTTATCGGTGAATAGCTCACTGATGTGAGTCGAATCGTTATCGCGCTCGCAAAGCGAGCATATTATTTCCGGAAGAAGCACCGTGATTCTCACGGCGATGCGTTATGCGCAAATATTTGCGCTGCGTGCTATCGTGCAGTCCGATATATTAATTGCGTGATATATTATAATTAATTCATAATCGCCGCAGGTCCGGTCAACCATTGGCGATGTCGCTCGCGCCCCAGCACTATTTATTTATTTATGATGCGGTCTAATTTACAATCGGTACACGAGAAGGCCAAGCGCGTTACGTAATCGCTGCAGGGAGCACGCGGCTGCTGTTTATCATTATGCGCGAAAGAGAGGAGAGAGAGAGAGAGAGAGAGAGAGAGAGAGAGAGAGAGAGAGAGAGAGAGAGAGAGAGAGA